CATTCTCTCCCCTTCCCTGCTCTCTCTTCAGCCCCCCACTCGAAGCTCCTGGCTAGGAGCCAGCATTGTTCCTGCCTAGTTCAGGGCTTCCCTCCTCCTTCCCTCCCTGCCCCTTCCCTCCCTGCCCCCTCCAGCTAACCCCCAGGGCACCAGCCTGCCCAGCCCTGCTGTGGCCCAGGCTGGGGTTAGGGCAGGAGCGGAACTTTCTGTCCCCATCCTCTGCTTCCTTCTAGTCCCCATTAATGGCCCCCACCCCAGCTTAGAAGGCTGAGGAGCTTGAGTTACTAGGGGCCCCTGGTTATTTTTAATGCCACCAGCTCAGAAGATAAATATACCTCCCCTCCAGCCAGCTGCCCAGACAGACCAACACTCCCTTCAGACTCCTCCTTCTCCTTCCTAGCAGTCATCTCTCTCCTCAGCCTTGACTCATCTCTAATGGCTTCACCTCACATTCTCTCCTTGAGGGTACCCCTGGACTTCTTGAGGGTACTTCCTGGACTCCCAGCAGGGTACCAGCCCATGTCATGGGAGGGGCAGCCTCTGTGTCCGGCTTTACCTGGCCTCCTCAAAGGGCCCAGCTGCCTGGCTGGGGCCGGGCAGAGGGACACTGCTACTGGGTGGTCGCCTGCTTGGCTGCAGACTCAGCACTGAGATCCCTCTGGTATTCAGCGAGGCAGCCCACTGCCTCTTCCTCTGCCCTACGCCACGCCACTCTGCTTCCATATGATCCCACGCTGCAGGGAAGTTCTTCCTGGAATTAACTTCCAGGTCTCTTGCTTAAGTCCAAAGAACCCTCTGGGGGTAGTCCAGAGCAGGAACTGCAGGTCTCCAGAGAGGACAGAGAGGGGCCCTGGGATCAAGCTGGACTGTGTTCATTCCTACATTGCTGTCATCCTGGGCACTGAAGACGGCACAGGGTCCTGCAGGTGGGCAAATGACCACTCTGGCGTGGGGAGCAGGTCTGGGTGCCAATAATGGGCCGATGGCTCCCTCTGGTGGTGACAGGCTGAAGTACATGGCCGCAGGTCATGGCCACCTCCTTGTCTGGGTGACGCCTGGGCTTTGGGGCTCCCCCCACCTCAGACCTGGTTCTGCTTCCTGGATCCACCCAAGAAATGTCTAGGCCCTTTTACTCAAAGTCTATCAGACACTTAATATAACCCCACCCTATATATATATATTTTTTTTAATAGAGGCATGTTTATTTATTTATTTATTTGTTTGTTTGTTTGTTTATACATGCACTGGGGTACAGTCAGAAGCGCGGGAGGGTGAGAGAATTCACCAGAGCCAGAGCAGGGAGCAGAGCAGGCAGAAGGACCGAAGGACACTGCTGAGGGGAGCAGCGGGCGGCAGGAGAGGTCTGCGGGCCATGTGGGACCCTCCTCTGGTGGCCGGGGAGCAGCCGGGGATCGAACCGGCGCCGCAGAGGCCGCGGGCAGCTTCGCAACCCAGCGCTCAACCTCTGCGCCACCAGGGAGGCCCCCACCCTATATTTTTATTTTTGAAATGCTTCATTTACTCTTTTAGGGAAGAACTCTTGTGCAGAGTGGTGTGCCTCTCCATCCCACTTGCTTCTCCTTCTCCCCCCCCACCCCCAGAGGGAACCAATGTCCTCTCCCTTATTTTTTTAATATTAAAAAAGCTTTATTTATTTATGCACAGAAGAACTGGGGTACAGGCCAGAAGTGCCAGGGGTGAGAGGAGTCACCAGAGACAGAGTGGGGAGCAGAACAGGCAGATCTACTGAAATATACTGCTGAGGGGAGCAGCAGGTGAGACAGGCGAGATTTGCAGTGCCATGTGGGTAACCTCCCTGGCCGGGGATTGAACTTGTCCTGCAGTGGCTGCGGTAGCTTCATAGTGCTGAGACTTAACCCCTTGCACCACCAGGGAGGCCCTGAAGGGCTCTAATTTTGACCAGGGACAAGGTTTCGAGTCCGGAATTGGTCATCTCCTGGCTACCTGTGGCCAAAGGTGCCTCTGAGTGAGGTGACAGGAGAAGCATGAGATGGTGATGAGATTACAGACTTCCCTTTCAGGTCCTCTGTGATGCATCCTCTGACCTCCACACCTTTACCTTCTTTCCCAGGGACAGGGAGGTGCGGGCTGAGTCAGAGCTCTGAGTTCAAGTTCTAGCTGTGTGATCTTAGATCAGTTAGCCAACCTCCCTGAGTTGTTTCCTCAGGTAGAACAGCATGGAAATAATAATGATGACATTACCTGACTCACAATATAAATCATAGTTCTTCAGTTTCCCAGGGAGCACAGCTTCCTTGATGCCATAGCGGCCCCTAGAGTCCATGTCTCCTGAAGCCTCTTCTGCTCTCTGCAGGGAGCTGAGCTGCTTGAGAGCGCCACAGGGAGGTTCCAATTCAGAAGGTCTTCATGAAACTTCATTCCACGCTCCCTGGCCATCTGGCCCACCCTGCACCCACAGAGTGCCTGCTGGTGCCCACAGAGGGCCTGGATTTCCTGTTGCTTGAAATGTCAGTTATCTGTTTAGAATCTGATGAGCACTGGTGTCAGTTCTACCGGACTATGATTGCTGGAGTCCCCCTTTTCCTGCCTGAGGAAAACCTACTACACTCTTCTCCAGCATTTTAGATGGCCTCTGTGTCCCCTGACTCCCACAACTCACCACAAGAGGTTCCTAGGAGGAGTTTGCGCCAACTTAATGACAGTCCTCAAAGAAGCTTTATATACACCTCCCACACCTTTTCTTGCTGACACTCAGAATAAACTTATGGGGGGCCTCCCTGGTGCAAGGGGTTAAGACACAACCTATGAAGCTATCCACAGCCACTGCAGCATGAGTTCAATCCCCGGCCAGGGAGCTACCCACACGGCACAGCAGACCTCTCCTGACTTGTCCGCTGCTCCCCTCAGCAGTGTATTTCAGTCAATCTGCCTGTTCTGTTCCCCACTCTGTCTCTGGTGACTCCTCTCACCCCGGCACCTCTGGCCTGTACCCCAGTTCTTTTTTTTTAAGATTTATTTATTTATTTATACAAGCACTGGGTACAGTCAGAGGCATGGGAGGGTGAGAGAATTCACCAGAGCCAGAGTGGAGAGTAGGAGAGTAGAATAGGCAGAGTGACTAAGTACACTGCTGAGGGGAACAGCGGGCGGCAGGAGAGGTCTGCGCGCCATGTGGGACTCTTGCCAGGCGGCTGGGGATCGAACGGTGCTGCAGAGGCTGCAGACAGCTTCTCAACCCAGGGCTCAACCGCTGCACCACTGGGGAGGCCCTGTACCCCAGTTCTTGTATGCATAAATAAATAAATCTTTTTTTAAAAAAAAATAAACTTATGGGATTGATACCAAACAGGTAAACTGAAGCTCACTTAGAGAAGTTATGTGACATTCAGGTCATCCACCCCACTGAACCTCTCCATGGGACTCCCTAAAGGATCTCAAGGATCTTAGGGGATCTCAAATATTCAGCATCTCTCTCCACACCTGGGAAACGAATGAGGAGGGAGAGGCCCCAAGCCCAATCCAAACAGCAGTGGGGGTGAGGGTGGAGAAGTTCAGCATCTGGGTCTGCATAGCCTCAGTGAGTCCCCTCACTGCACACCCACCGGCCCCTCCCTGACCTGCAATCCACAGGTAAACAGCGAATGCCAAAGCCTAGGTAGCTGGGGACAGGGGTGAGGGTATTATTGGAATGGCCTCCTGGTCATTGGCCTGCTGTATCCAGCACCCAGAAACCCCTTTCCATCCTTTGTGTCCCCAGCTCTCTGTGGACACCATAAGTGCTGATTATAGTAATAATATTATTATATTTATTATATTTACCTCCACCATGAGCCCCTTCAGGGCTAGGACAGAGGTGTCTCTCTTAGGTGCTGACCATAGACTCAGCTAACACTTGTATAGTTAAGTTGGATTTATATGAGCAGAAATGGCTTCCTCAATGATCCGCTCAGTCTCGTTACCCCGACTCTCCCCCATCTCACCTCCCCGTTTTTCTGCATGCTGCGAATCCCACCTCCCACGTTACCGTGCGCCACGCAGGAGGACTTTCACCCTCCAGAAGGCCTTCTGCAGGGAGATCTCTGTGCCCTGTGAGCGCTGCTTCCTGAACTGTAGGCGCCTGCAAGGGATGTTTTGAGGATTTTCAGATGATATAAGTAAAATGTCAGAACATGATTTGGCCATCAGGAAGACAACACAGTTGAGCTGGTTGTTTGCCATAATGGAGTTGTTTGCTGATAATGGAGTTGTGATAACCGCACAGGGGCCTCTTCTTTGCGCTCCCTCCTCCCGGTCTGTCAGCCACTAGGGGGCGCCCTCTGCCAAAATTCCCTACGCGGAGGCCAGGATGGAGCCATTTTCCCTGAGAACCGGAGGGCTCTTCAGCTGAAGGGATCCTGTAAACCCAGGTTCTACGGAAGAGCTGTAAGAAGGATGGAAGTGCGTAATCGGGAAAACTTTTCGCCTGATGTTTCGGTTTCCTGATGGAGACTAAGGCCCGGGTGTGGGATGGAGGGGTGCGTGTGTGCGTCCACATACACAAGCGCTCAGCTGTGTCCCCTCACGTCATGCATTTGTTCTTGTTTTCCAGTCATGTCTAACAGCACTGCCTCTCAGCAATACTGCCTTCCAGTATTTCAGGAGGGCGAAATTTGCTGTCTGTCCCATCTATGCTTTCAGCAGTCAGGTGAGATTTTCATCGTTGCTCCCATTTTATGGATTAGAAACTGAGTCTTAGAGAAATTCGGTAGCACCTCTCTCGCGCGGCTAAGTAAGAGCTGCAATGACCGCATAGGCTCGATTTTGTGCATAACGTACTTTTATGAGGAGTCACGCCCTTCCTCACAGCCGCTGTCACAGAAAACCACCACCACAGGATCTGATTTTCTAGACCTGGTTCCTTTGGTTCCACTCTGCATCCCCAGGGCAGCGGAGACAGAGGATGCCGCCCTTTCTCTGAACTTTAAAGGGTTAAGGCCTGGGTCCCGCCCCTTTTCCCGCCGGGCCGGCGGGAGTATGAATAGCCGCGGCTCCCACTCCCGACGCGCGTCGCTCCGGCTTCTCCCAGCCCCACCCCGCCATTGTCCCCTTCTTGCCTTTTCTCCCTCCTCCTCAAAGTTTCGAGAGCCGCTGGCTTCTCCCAGCACCCCTGCTTCTTTCCACCCTCGGTGGGTTTGACGAGCAGGATGGAGGGCTGCCTGGGGGAGGAATCTTTTCAGATGTGGGAGCTCAATCGGCGCCTGGAAGCCTACTTGGCCCGGGTCAAGGCGCTAGAGGAGCAGAATGAGCTGCTCAGCGCGGAGCTCGGTGGTCTCCGGGCGCAGTCCCGGGACTGCTCCTGGCGAACCCGCGCTGACAACGAGCTAGCAGCCCTGCGGGCCCTAGTTGACCAGCGCTGGCAGGAGAAGCACGCGGCCGAAGTGGCGCGCGACAACCTGGTGGAAGAGGTGGCGGGTGTGGCAGGCCGGTGCCAGCAGCAGCGGCTGGCTCGGGAGCGGATGGCTGAGGAGGTGGCCCGCAGCCGGCGCGCTGTCGAGGCCGAGAAATGCGCCCAGGTCTGGCTGAGCAACCAGGCGGCGGAACTGGAGCGCGAGCTAGAAGCCCTGCGCGCCGAGCACGAGGAGGAGCGCGCCGGCCTGAACGCGCAGGTTACCTGCGCTCCCCGCGGCCCCGCACCTCCCCGCGCGTGCCCCGCGCCGGCCCCAGAGGTGGAGGAGCTGGCGCGGCGGCTGGGCGAGGCGTGGCGCGGAGCGGTGCGCGGCTATCAGGAGCGCGTGGCGCACTTGGAGACGTCGCTGGGTCAGTCCTGCGAGCGTCTGGGTCAGGCTGTGCAGGGCGCTCGCGAGGGTCGCCTGGAATTGCAGCAGCTCCAGGTGGAGCGCGGTGGCCTCCAGGAGCGCAGGGCAGCGCTGGAGCAGAGGTTGGAGAGTCGATGGCAGGAGCGGCTGCAGGCCACTGAGAAGTTCCAGGTAAGGAGTCAGGGACAGGGCCAGTCAAGGCCTTTGACAGACCCTATTCACCTCAGAGGTCTTGGGAGAAACCGAGTAGAAAGTGGAGATGGCCATCAAGTCAGGAGCCACTTCCTAGAAAACCCATACCTGGTGCCACAGGCCCTAAACTTTCACAGCAACATCAAAAGTGGGGTGGGGATGATAGGGGTTCAGAGCTCTTTCAACATAGCCTCTCCCCTCCTCCCAGGGCAGACTGGTCCAAGACCTGTGCTGCAGCTTCCTTACTGGAAGCAGCCTCCTGCCCTTGTGGTTCCTGGCTACTCCCTAGGCTACCCTCTCAGAAGATGCCCTGGACCTCCCCCTCCAAGCTCCCTGACAGTAGAGGGTAAAGGGCCTTGGGTGAGCAGCCACCAGCCTTTCTGTGGTGTCATGGTTTCTCAGTTACCTCCCGGAGCACATTCCAAAGGCTTGGGACAGCTGCTCCCTCTCACACTCTGCAGATGTGACCAGCAGCTGAGAAAACAGCCGCCTGCCTCAGCTAGACAGAGGTCTCAACATGGCCACATCCCCTCTCCTCTCAGAGGAGGAAGATTCCAGAACATGTGGGAAGTGGAAGAGGTGGGGGGCCTGTGGTGAGGAGCAGGAGACAGCAATTGGGACCAGGGCTGTTTGGCTTCCAGTTCTTAGGGCTCCAGGCCTCTTGATTAATCATTTCTCCTTCTGCTTCCACTTGTTTCCCTTTCCTCTCTGTAAGCCATCTCCTCTTGTCCCTTCCCATCCCTTTCATGTGGGAGCTAAATTCTGAGCAGCATGTGCTACCATTTAATCAACACCCTCTGAGGAAGAGCTAGACTGTGGGAGGGGGCCAGAGGGATCAGTGTTCTCTTCTCAAGGTGTCAGAGGGGGTCCTCTGGGCAGGGATTGGGCCAGGGGAGGAAGGAGTCTGCTGTACAGGAGAGGCCCAGCTCTGTCAGGGAGCAGATGCTGCTGCCCTTCACCTCTGGTTTGTCTGCAGCTGACGGTGGAAGCCCTGGAACAGGAGAAACAGGGCCTGCAGAGCCAGATTGCCCAGATCCTGGAAGGTCGGCAGCAGCTGGCACACCTCAAGATGTCTCTTAGCCTGGAGGTGGCCACGTACAGGTACGGGTTGACACCCCCTCCTGGGCACACAGATGCACACATACATGCCTGGGGGACGCTCCTCAGGAGCATCCTGAAGGAGACGCCCCTGAAGGGGCCAGAGCCACCACTAGACCCCGCCGCCAGTAGGTTCTGTGACTTTAAGTGTTTCTCTTCCACACCAGGACATGTCCCTCCTGAGCTTACCTGCTCCCCAAGTGTTCAGGATTGAAAAGTATCCTGTGTCCCAGAAATCCCCCAAGGAGAGGTGATGTTTATGAGTGGCACACCTCAGTAGAGAGGGCTGGAATTGTGTGGGCACCTGCACCCAGACCCTTACCCCAAGGGGCTATAAAGCCCCAGCCCCTGTGTGGGTGCTCACACTGAGGGGGATTGAGCAGCCTCCAAAAGAACTGCAGGATGAGGCTCAGCACTGACTTGCCAGCCCACTGGGTCCAAGTCTCTGTGTCTGGAGGGTGGGAGATGGGCTGGGGGACGTCCAGGGTCCTTCCATCCTAAAGGCTATGGGCCCTGGCTCCTTTTGAGCCCTAACACCCTTGACACTGCCCAGCCCTCCCACTGACCCCAGTCCCTGCGCCTGAGCTGGAGGAGGCACTGCTTCTCAGGCTGCGGGATTTGGGCAAACCCACTCTCTTCTGGAAAACTGCCTGATTGACTGAGTTTCCAGTGATGAAGCCTAAGGAAGGGGCTTTGCCACTTTGAAGAGCTGTGTACTCCAAGCTCACAGGGCAGGGAATAGGCTCTGAGGATGGTGGCCCCACAATCCACAGGCAAACAAAGGTGGGGGCCATTTGTTTTGGTTCAAGAGGACCCAGAGAAGGGTCAGTAAGGCCCTGGGGAGGATAAGGAAGGGGGAGGCCCCACGGAGCACAGGGCTCAGGGTATGATACTGCCTTGGGGGCAGAGTGAGACCAGCAAATACTCAATGGATGTTCAGCCTAACTCACTTACTGGACCCTTAAGTGCCCCCCCCCCGTCACCCCCCCCCACACACCTTGGTGGATCTCCTCCTTAGTCTCTGTGAGGCACTGAGGCTGGGGAATGGACGCAAAGACCTCCATTGCCCTGAAATGTTTGGGATTCCAAGATGAGGGCCCTGACCTCCAAGCAAACCACTGAGGTGAGGGGCCTGGGTAGGCTTTTCTGCTTATTTTGGAGGCACCAGAAGGATTTGGAGAAAGGCAGTGGAATTCGCTTGCTTTTGTCCATGACCAGTGCTGGGGCCCCCGGGGGAGGAGGAGGAGGGGGCCTATTTCCTGGGAACAGCCTGAGAATTCCCACTTTGCCTGGAAGCCCCCTACTCAGACCCTCCAGATGGCAGGTGGACAAAGGCACCAATTAGCATGAGAATAGACCCCCCACAGGAAGGATGAGGTCATTGGCCTGGGGTGAGGAGGAGGAGACTGTCTCAGTGAAGTGTGGGTGTGTGCACATTGTGTCCACTGTGTGGGAATCCGCTCTGTGTCTGTGAGCCCAGCTGTGTGTCCCAAATACGTGTGACTCTGTGTGATCAGGCATGTGGAAGCTGTGTGTGTGCTGTGTTCTGTTGTGTGCACAGCAGTGTAATGTGGACTGCGTTTTGTGATAGTGGTGAAAATGAAGGGGAAACTGCAGTGCCGGGGATGTACCAGTGTGGCTGGGAGTCACCCTCCATCCCATGACTCCCCAAATCCCCAGAGCTTGCCTACAGACCTGTGGGGAGAAGACCGACCCAGTTTTTCCTCCCCTATCCCCAGGACCCTCCTAGAGGCTGAGAACTCCAGGCTGCAGACACCTGGCAGCAGTTCCAAGGCTTCCCTCGGCATCCAGGGTAAGAGGAGGCCAGGTTCCCCCAGCTTACCCTCTTTACTCCTCATGCCCCAGAGCTACTCCTTCCCTTGCCCGCCTGCCCCCCCCCCCCACCCCATCTCAGTTTAAGTCTTCACTCCATGGCCCCCAAGGAGTGAGCATACTCTAAGCACAGTCAGTGGGAAGCCAGAGCGGAACCCAGGGGCAGGCAGGTCAGAGGTACCCTCACCACCACCTAAGCCCCCATTCCTGCCAGCACATACTGACATCATTTCTTCCCCTCTGCCCTTCTAGACCCTAAAATGGAGCTGCATTTCCCTGGGACACCAGAGGGCCGGCGTCTTGGACCGTTGCTCTCTGTCCTGAGTCCTGCTGCCCTCTCCCCACCCTTGCCTGATACCCTTGAGACACCTATGCCGGCCTTTCTGAAGAGCCAGGGATTCCTCCAGGCCCGTATCCCCACCTTAGCCAGCACTCCCATCCCACCCACACCTCAGGCTCCCTGTCCTGCTACAGATGCAGAGACCAGAGCCCAGGATGCCCCCCTGTCCCTGCTGCAGCCACAAGCTGGGAGACAGCAGGCTCCAGAGGCCATGTGGGCAGAAGCTAAGGTGGCCACCCCTGCCAGCATTCTCCCAGAACCAGGGGATCCTGGGACCAATCAGCAAGAGGCCAGTACAGGCCAGTCCCCTGAGGATCATGCCTCCTTGGCCCCACCGCTCAGCCCAGACCACCCCAGTTTAGAGGCAAAACTCAGTGGGTCTGTAGTTTCCAGCAGATTCCAGGAGGAAGGTGAAGGGCAAATCTGCAAGCTGGCAGAGAATGACAAAGCTACAGAGATCAAAGCAGTAAGCAGCTTACAGCAGGAAACATGGCAAAAAGAGGGGGATCTTGTCACAAAGGAACTCCAGGACTCCCAGGGTTCTTTGGAAAAAGAAACTTCAAAGTCTCTGAAAGAGGAGATTCAAGATCCACTGATGTCTCTGGAAAAACAGAGCCAGGAAACACAGAGATCGGTAGAGGAGAATCAAGAATCTGTGAGCTTTTTGGAAGAAGAGAACTTAGAGACACTAAAAAGTCTAAATAAGGAGAATCTGGAGCTATTGAAGTCCTTAGAAGAAAAGGATATAGAAATAGCGAGACCTGTAGAAAAAGAGACTGTAGAACTACGTAAACCTATAGGGAAAGAGGACCCACAGCCATTGCAATCTCCAGAAAAAGAGAACCAACAATTAATGAGGTCTCTTGAGGGTAATGTAGAGATATGTTTATATCCAGAAAAGGAAAATAATAATTTGGTGAGCTCTCTGGAAGAAGACTTTGAGTCACTGAGTTCTAGAAAAGGAGCCCTAGAAAAAGATGATCAGAATGCCTTGAGACCTGAAGTAGAGAACCAGGATACATCAATACCTATAGCAAAAGAGAATCATGAGTCTCTGATGTCTCTAAAAGATGAGAATCAAGAGACCTTGAGACCTCCACAAAAAGAGAATCAGGAGCCACTGAGGTCTCTAGAAGAAGAGAAACAGGAAACATGGGGACTTCTTGAAGAAGAGACTCAGCAGCCACTGAGGTCTCTAGAAGAAGAGCAGATAACACAGAGACCAGAGCCACTGGAATCTCTTGAAAAATACCAGGAAATGTTTAGACCTCCTGAAAAAGAAAATCAAGAGCTAAGGTTCCCAAAAGAAGAGAGTGTAGAGGAGGTGAGATCTTTAGAAACAGAGAATCTAGAACCATTAAAGGCTGTAGAAGAATACCCAGAAATGTTGACATCTCTAGAAACTCAAGAGCCAGTGTGGTCTGGAGAAGGAATGAATGAAAGGAAAATTAAACCTCTAGAAAAGGAAACTCAAGAACCACTAAGGTCTGTAGAAGAGAACCAGGAGACATTGAGACCTCTAGAAAAGCAGGACCAAGACTCACTGAGATCTCTGGGAGAATGGAATCTAGAGAACTTGAGATCTCCAGAAGACCTAGACAAGGGAAGTCAAGAGTACCTGGGAGAGGAAGGGAAGCTGGAGATGGAAGAGAATCAAGAGTTGCTGAGGTCTATGGAGGAGGAGGGACAGGACCTGCCCCTTTCAGCAAGTAGACAGCGGTGGGAAAATGTGGTGGTGGGAGACCAAGAGCAAGATCAGGAAATACCCCCTGGGGAGGTTGGAGTGGATCATGAGGATGAGGCAGAGCTGGCCCTTAGGGAGTTGGATGGCTTTGCTGGGAAGGAGGCATTTCTAGAGCAGGGAGAGGAGCCAATGACCGCCACAGGAGAGGCCTGGAACACAGATGAGCATCCAGGGAACCAGGGGCCCAAAGACTGGGTCCCAGGCAAGGGTGCCAGTGAGGAGGAAGGTGCCAAAGGCTCCCAGGACCTTGAAGAGCAGGTGGGGGCCCTAGATCTCAGCGTTCCTCTGGGCATGTCAGAGGTGATGGGGCTGGTATTGGAAGATGAGGACAGGGATGCAGCCCTAGGGGGTGGCATGGATTCCCCACAGGTTACCTTGGGGTCAGAGACAGCAATGGGGGAATCTGCTGCTGTAGGTACAGAGCAGGGACAGGAGCAGGGAGCTGGAGGCCTGGAGGGCACAGACCAACTGGTCAGGGAGGAGGTGATGGAGCCACCCTTGGGCGAGGAAGGTTTAGAGGCAAAAAGCGAGGAGGATTTGAAAGGACCCAGAAAGGCCCTAGAGGAGGCAGTTGCTCTGGAGCCAGAAGTCTCTCCATTTTCCAGGGTCTGGGAGGAATTGGAACCTGAGTCCCCCTGGAGAGCAGAGGCAGTGTTCTCTGCTGAGACTTTCTGCCAGGAGGGCTGTGATGCCCCTCAACCAAGGCCCCTGGGGCCAGAGGAAACTGAGGCAGATGAACAACCAGGGACGCAGTCCACCAGCCCAAGGTGCGAGGAGCCCTGGTCACCTACCCCAATCCCTGAAGATGCCCTGGAGCTGCAGCCCCTGGCTGAGGGGAGCCAGGAGGCTAGTTGGGGACTGGGGGGCAGGGCTGAGGCTCTGGCAAAGGTGGAGGATGAGCAAGAGGAGCTAGGCTGTGGGGAAGGTCCTTGTCCCGAGGACCTTCAGGACAAGGTGGGGGAGAGCAGAGAGGAGAGTGAGGCTGAGGTTGATGAGCTAGGGGAGACTCTCCCGGACTCCACTCCCCTGGGGCTCTACCTCAGCTCCCCAACCTCCCTCAGATGGGGCCTGGCTGGAGTGCAGAGGCCCTCCCCTCAAGGGGAGGCTGGAAAAGAAGGCTGGGATCCTGCTGGCCTCACCTCAGGGGATCTTGGGGCCCTACATCCAGGGGAGGAAGAGAAGGAAGAGTTGGAAGAGGAGGAGAAAGCGGGAGAAGAGGAGAAGGGGGAGGATGAGGAGGGGGAGGACGAGGAGGAGGAGGAGGAGGAGGAGGAGGAGGAGGACGGGGCAGACGGGGAGAAGGGAGCTGAAGAGGCAGAAGGTGGCCGTGACTCTGATCTGTCAGAGGAATTTGAGGAACTGGCCACTGAGGCTACTCTCCTTCCGGGGGTCCCCAGGGAGGTGGTGGGCCCTCTGGGTCTGGCGCCCCAGCCCCCGCTGGAGCCTGCAGCTTGGGATGGGGATGGCGAGTCGGATGGGTTTGCTGATGAGGAGGAGAGTGCGGAGGAGGGAGAGGAAGAGGCTAGAAGGGAGCCAGGGGCTGGGTGGTGGGGTCCAGAGTCTTCTGTGGGAGACCATCTGCAGAGAGGGGCCCTTCCGCTGTCTGAGGCCGTGGAGGTCAGTGTCCCCGGGGATGAGGGCTTGAGGGGTGCGGTGGCCAATCTCCCTGTGACTGTCCTGGAATCAGAGTCCCAGGACAGCACTGACCCCTCCGGCTCAGGGGAGGAGTCGGGTGCTACCCCCTCAGAGGGGAAGGACCGAGCCCCTGGCCCCCTGGAGCCCCTCAGTGGGGTGGAGGACCTGGGCCTGGAGGGAGGGGATGCCCTCAGTGTCAATGGCCAGGGTCCCAGCTTGAAGGAGGAGTTGGAGCATGTGAATGGCGGGGTGGTGAATGGCCTAGAGCAGTCCGAGGGAGTAGGGCAGGGGAAGCTGGGGAGCCCTGAGTGCGACAGAGGGAGCCCCTTGGAAGAGGAGGAGGGAAGTGCCCTGAAGACCCCTTGGGCAGGGGCTCCTCTTCACCTGGGCCCGGGCCAGTTCCTGAGGTTCACCCAGCAGGAAGGAGATGGGGATTCCTGGTCCTCGGGGGAGGACTAGAGAAAGAGCTATCCCTGCACTAAGTATGTGTGGGTGTTCCAAGCCCCCTCCCTGCTCAGAGGCAGCACCTTTAATTTATGAGCTCTTGTCCTGTGGCTTCTGTGAGAAGCCTGGCTGGCCAAGGTGAAGTGTGGTGTAACCAAGGGGCCCATGCCAAGAATAGAGGTTCCAGGAGTGAAAGCCAGCCCCTTGGGTCCTGCAGAGGGGGGCGTCCTGCCCACACCATCCCACAGGCTTTATAGTACTGAATCTTTAGTACTAGGCCCCTCTTCCTTGCACTCCTTCCTTACCAACCTGTCCCATCAGCTAGAAAAGGCCTAGGTGTGTGGCTCCTCAGAGTGGAGGAGCTCAACAGCCTACCCCTCCTAGAGACACCTCTGTAGGGTGTCTGACTGGTGGCTTGAGAGGGTGGGGGTGGGGCATCTCTGTGTCCTGACCCCTACCAAGTTATGGCCTTGTCTGGCTCATCCCTACCTGAATAAAGTAATGCCTCTGCCGACGATGTCTGTACTCTTCCTTCCCCAGTCTGGGGGTCCTCAGGGCCAACACTGGAGTGGAAGAGACCGAGGGAGGAAGCCAGAGATTTGAATGTTGGCGAGGGGCTCCCTCTCCCACACAGCAGGGGATCCGAAAGGCCTGGGGTGGGGGGTTCAAGGTAGACAGACCCAGGCTGCAGACAGCTGTGCTGGGGACCCAGGGAGGGTGGGGTGCTGTTTGGTGGTGGTGGTGGGGGCCTAGTCCTGGTGACCTCACTGCTTGCAGAAGCCAGGCCTGTCATCACCCTCAGTGCTGATTATAGAGATTAGGCCTTGGGGCCACCCTCCATCCCTTGCTAGTCCTCCCCACTGGTCTTCAGTGACGCCAACATAATAAGTCCCCTTGCCCCCAAATATAAACAGTTGTCTGGCCTGTGATGTCAGCAGCTACTGGCGGAGTCAGAGCCGGGTGAGGGGAGAGGGAGGGCTATACTGCCTTGGTCTAGCTGTGTGGCCTCAGCTCAGCTTTCCTCTCTGAACCTGAGGCCCAGTCACAGTGGGAGAGACCTGTGGGCCTCCTGGGGCAGGGAGAGCAGGAGGGAGGCTAGGGGAAGCCAGGGCTGCAGCTTCCATTTTCAGTAGGACTTTCCCATGCACTGAAGCAGGAGACAGGGAAGCCAGCAAAGGAAAGCGAGGACCGGGTGCCGGAAGCAGGCAGTGCTAAGGGAAGCACTCTGGTACTGAAACTGCTGTGCTGATAACTCGGGCTAGACCGGAGCTTCTCCCAGCCAGCTGCAGCTTCTCCTCACATCCCTCCCCACAAATTCTCAGGGTCCCTGTGTAGGATAAGGAGGGTACAGAGGATCCTGCTTTAGGCAGGTCTGAAGGCCTTGAAGTCAGAATACCCGAATAGAATCCACTCCCCAGCTCCACTTGGCAGGGAAGGATCTGGCAACACCTCTAAACACCCAGGGTGGGGGTGGGGGGTGTCAGACAAATGTTTTACATTTGGAGACAATCTGAAGTCTGGGAATCTTCTTCTCCTCTGGCCCAAGGCCAGAGAAAATGGAGTCCCAGCCCCGCAGGCCCCCACTCATGTCCTCTGGCCAAGGACGAGTAGACAGGATCTTCCTGACAGAATCTGCTTCTCTGACCCCGCCTTTCTCCTCCATCCAAGAGTTTCTGTCTTGGATGCTCAGGCCCCCATTTCACAGATCCCCATCCTTGAGAGCCTGTCCTCAGCCCCCGATCCTGGCAGCCCAGCCTCCACACTTTCCTCCATGTGCCCACAGCTACCAAGGCCTGCCTCACCCCAGGCCCAGGGACCAAGCACACTGGCACCCAGACAGGCGAGGTCCACTCCCTGTCCTCTAGTGGGACAGAGGAGGTGCTTGATGTCCCCAGGCCCTCAGGCACCTCCGCTCAGGCGAGGGACCAAGGACAGAGGCGCAGCCACTCACAGTCCTTCCCTGGGCCCAGCTGCCCATGCTGTCCCAGCCTCGCCGGCCTGCAAACAATCCCAAACAGGGAGAAAAATGTCAAGCAGAGGGAGTGAAGGCTTTCCTTCAAGGGGATATGCGTGTTCTCTTCTGAAATGGCAGTCTGTCTACCTAGCAAGAGAAGTGAGGGTGGGCCAGAAACGGCCATTCCCAGGGCTGAAGGTAGGAGTGAAGGCCATTTTTCCACCACCATTTACTGAGCATCTACTACATGCTGGGCCCTGTGCAGGCCCTGGGAATCTGGGGCTCCTTGCTCAGGGAACTTTACTCTGGGCAGGGCTTGGTGGTGGCAGTGGGGATGGAGAGGAGTGGATATGTAAGGGAAGCAGACTCTCAGAACTTAGTGATCTGCCGTGGGGATGGAGGAGGGATAGGGCAGCAGATATGCAGAAATTTTTAGCCTAGGTGGGCTGTCAGGAGTGGGTGGTCTCATCTGAGCAGGAGACTCCATTAGCAAGTTGTAACCTCCAGTGGGAACTGTCCTGGAGGAGGTGGGCATGTGGGGCCCTGAGACAAGATGTGGAGCATCATGGTCGTAGAGGTCCTGGGAGAAAGCCCAGGACAGGGCCCCCAGAACAGGAGACTGCAGAAAGGCCAGACTACACCAGAGGAGAAAGAGAGGATAGTGGTACCTCAGAAGCCCCTGTCCTCTGGAAAATACAGACTTTGTCCAGTACAGGGCCTGAGGCCCAGAGGGTGCTCAAGTATTGAATAAATGAATGAATGAAGGACTAGGATGAGGTCAGACAACAGGAAGCTCTTTAGAGGGTAGAGTCCCCAGAGGGAATGAGAAGACTGCCCTTTTCCCCCTCCACACCCCTCCCCCACCAGCAGGAGGACAAGTGGGAGGTTATTCTGGGGCCTCCTCTGGGTAAATATAGCCCCTGAACAGGGAGGGCGGGGGCAGGGTGGGGGGGGGCGGAGGTGGCTTCCTCAGTTTGTTTGGGCCTCTTCCTTATAAGGTTGTGCAGGCTGAGGCGCCATGGAGGGTGAGGTCAGGGGCTGAGCGCTCCCATTCAGTCCAGCCTGATGGTGTTCCTGTCACTACTGCCTCTGCCAGAGTCTCAGAGGAAATCAAAGGCCCAGACGCTGGGCTCTGGCCGAGGAAGCGCAATGTGACCTCTGAAAGAGCCCCTCAGCCTCACAGCGGCTGCAGTGGAAGCCCAGTCTAGGAGGGAAGAAGTGTCCTCACCAAAGGTCAGGCCTGGCCTGAGCATCCCCGGACTCCCTCCAGGTGCGCACCTGCCCTCTAACCTTTACTTCTCACTGCCCGGTCTGTGCCTCTTGCGCTGGCCTTTTAAGATTCCAAAGACCCTGATCCCTCAACTCCCCTCAGCCCCCCTTTCAGCCCCTCCTAGGGGAACCAGCTGCTGCCGCTTGACCCTGTGGTGTCACAGCTGCTGTCGGCAGTGCCATCTTTGTCAGGCAGGGAAAGAGGAATGTGATTTAATTTCAGCCGGAATGTGCCCTCTGAGGCTGCCAAGAGAAAGGAGAGAAAATGGAGGCCAAGCTCCCCACCCCCCAACTCCAGGAAACCCAAGAGGACTCTGGGCTTGGTGACAGACCCCTGGGGGCTTCTAGGACCCACTCCTACCCCACAGGAAGGGTTCTGAGGCAAAATGGATGGAAGCCAGACTTGAGGGTCTTCCTGGGAGGTGGGAAAGAGAAGGCTCCTTGTGAACCAGCTCAGTGGATAAGGAAAGGACCTGCTGCCCTGGTCCTGAGTTCCCTGCAGCCCTACAGGCAAAGCGAGTCTCAAAGGACAGAAACAGGGAAGGGATCACTTGGCTCAGGGAAGAGAATGGGCTCAGGTGAGGGCCCTCTGAGTCTGAAGTCTGCCATGAGAAGTGGAGGGAATCAGGCCTCCCCAGTGGCGCAGGGGTTAGAGACAGCGCTATCAAGCTATCACTAGCCACTGCAGCGCGAGTTCGATCCCCTGCTAGGGAGCTGACGCACATGGCACAGCAGACCTCTTCTGTCTCGCTGTTCCCCTCAGCAGTGTATTTCAGTCAGTCTGCCTATTCTGCTCCCCACTCTCTCTGGTGAAGCCTCTTACCCCCTCCCTCTACCCCCACACCTCTGGCTTTCACCCCAGTTCTAGTATGCATAAATAAATCTTTAAAAAAATAGTGGAGGTTCTCCTTGGTGGCGCCAGGGGTTAAGATGCAACCTATGAAGCTATCTGCAGCCACTGCAGCACGAGTTCGATCCCCAGCCAGGGAGCTAACCCACATGGCACAGCAGACTCTCCTGACTCTCCAACTGCTCCCCTCAGCAGTGTATTTCAGTAGATCTGCCTGTTCTGTTCCGTACTCTGTCTCTGGTGGATCCTCTCACCTGCCTCCCACCCCGACACTTCTGGCCTGTACCCCAGCTCTTGTATGCATAAATAAATAAATATTTTTAAAAAATAGTGAAGGGAATCCCTGTCCTCTTTCCCTCTCCAGTTCCTCTCCCACAGCCATCTCTCTGCTGCCAGCCAGCCCTGGGGGGAGGGCTTTCCCCCTTACCTTCCTTTTTTTATAATTATTTCATTTTTATTTATTTTTTATATTTGCATAGAAGAATTGGGGTATAGGCCAGAGGTGTGGGAGGGGGTGTTAGAGGATTCACCAGAGACAGAGTGGGGAGCAGAACAGGCAGATTTACTGAAATACCCTAAGGGGAGCAGTGGATGAGACAGGAAAGGTCTGCCGTGCCATGTGGGTGAGCTCCCTGACTGGGCATTGAACTCAGGCCATAGCAGTGATAACATTGAAACTTAACCTCTAGGCCACCAGGGAGGTCCCCTCCTCCCTTTCTAACACAGACATTTCAGGAGAAATAGATTCTTCCTCCTGCTTCCCATCTCTCCCTAAACCCCATTATTCCAGGGTCCCCTTTTGGATGTCCCTCCCTTGACTTAACTCTGGTTCTTCATGTTGTAGCTTCAGCCCCTTTGCCGCAAAGGGTTGGAGCCTAGGCCCAGAGTCCTGGGTGCCAGAGCCTCTCCTCTTCACAGACTCCTCTCCCTAGCCCCCCTCACTCTTCCACCCCCGAGATTCAGCTGTGGCTCCAGAAATAAACCCGGGCAGGTGCCAGGGGGCCACTGTCGAGGAACCACCTCCCAGCAGCTGTGGGGTCAGCTGCTGCCAAGTCAATTCCCAGGGCCCCAGGGAGGGTAGCAGGAAGACTTGGCATGGGGGGGGGGGTGGTGCTGCCGATGGCTCTGTGTCCTCTGGGGCTCCCTGCTAAACAGAAACACCCTTTGCTGTCAGTCTCACTCACCACTCACTTTCCTCCCCTGTCTCCCTCTTTCCACCTCTCCTCTGTCTTCCACCTCCTTTTAGCTCTCCTTCCTCGTCCCTTCCCAAGTCCTGAATCCTAGATGCTCCTTCCTTTTCTGTTCACATCATTTACCAGAAAGTTATATGTCAGACAGAATTTCAGCTTATCTAGATGGGGAAACTGAGGCACAGAGGGACACCCCTTGCCAATGATATTAAGAGTCCTTAGATGATACTTGGGGTCCCTAGAACACGGGCCAGAGGGCTGTGGGTCTCTTCCTTAGTGTTCCAATGGTGACCAGCCTCCCCTCTGTTATCAAGCTACCCCCAAAACTAAGGAACCATAACAGACCATAAGTCCCACCCACTTGGGATTAACTGGAATCTAGAGTCTTCTGATGGGGGGTGGGGGGCTTTCCTCACCTCTTCCTTCTTCCTCTTTTCCTTTCCTTCCCCCCTACCCCATTCTTTCCTCAACTTCTACCCCCGAGTCTCAGCTCTCTCTCCCCCTGAGGAAGTGGCAGCTTTGCAGCAGACAGAAGGGTGGTTAGAGCTCAGGAAGGACCTTCCTCTGGGGAATGGAGGAAGCTGCAAGCGGGGAAAGGGAGTGGGGGCAGCCCGCCACCCACGAGGGTCTGACAGGCTGAGCATTTTTGGAAGTCTTCGGGAGCTGCTGTGTGGTGGCAGGCTGGCGGGACAATGGGGCCCTTTTTCTCTGGACACAGGAGACAGGCCCACAGAAGGGGCCTCAGGGCTGGGACAAAGGCCCAGGGAGGCCAGGGCAGGCGGAGCTGGGATGGGGAGGTAGGGAGTGGGGGGAGGAATGGGGAGGTGAGGTGTGAGTCAGAGCAGCTTTGGGGGAAGCTGGGGGACATTAGCAGGCCCTTTTCTCCAGGCTCTCAGACCCACAGGGATGCCAAAGCCCCTGATTCACCCAGGCTGGGCCTCCCCCTTCCACATACACCCATACTCTCTCCCTCATCCCCAAGGAGCTAGAAACCCTGAGGGGGTACCCCGTTTTAGACATGTGAAAAGAAAGCTGAGAGCTTAATCACATACCCAAGGGCTTGGCAGGGGCGAGTCATGTTCAGATCCCTGTGTACCCTAAAAGCAGAGGCAGACACAAGGGCACCCCTACTGCAGTCCTCAAAAGAGATGGGGTTGACACTCCAGGAGGGTTCAATTCCCTTTCCCAGGCCAAGACAGGCCTGGTGCACATGCGCACACAGGCTGGGGCTGCGTTCTGTGCAGCACGCTGAGTCATCCCTGACCAGTGCCCCTTCCCCAGGAAGTCCAACAAAGCCAAGAGAATGCTTTCATTTCCGGCAGCCCTGCTGAGGCAGCCTGGTAGGTGACCAGAAGTGGGAGGATCATTCTAGCTCTAGCCCTGTATCAACCCCTGGAAGTCTCCAAATCGCAGCACAGAGAAGATACATCCCTGCCTACTGCGAAGACCAACAGGGAGGCAGGGAGGCACTGGTGACAGGGCTGACACCAAAGCCCCCTGCTAGCCACCGGGTCTCTCCAGGAAACCCAACCTGCTGTCTGAACTCCATCTCTGGAAGGATATATTCCTCAGAGAACATCCCTTGGGGCCCCAGAACAGCTAATCCCCCTTCTGCCTTCTCTTCAGGCTTTACCTTCAAAGGCCCACCTTGGTCTTGATGCACTCACAGTTGAAGCTACAGTTCCAACATCCCTAAAAACACAATTAGTGGGCAATCTCAGGGTAGTACAGGAGAGAATGGGGTCTACTCTGGCCCCAAGAGCATCTTCTTCCCTGGAGCAACTTAAGAAAAACTCTAGTCATGCTGGGTTGGGTTGTATGGGGAGGGAAAAAAGTGGGGCAGGGGAGCCCTGGGGTGAAGAGAGGAATGTGGTGGGGCTGGGAGGTCAGTGCTGGCAGCTCACACACCAGCTGTTTTGGGGTTTTCAGATAGGGTGGGCAGGAATGGCTTTGGAGAGTCCCCAGCTCCCCCCCAAAAGCACCTGTTTTTCTGTTTACCTCACTGTCTCTGGGTCTCTCCATATCACTTTCTGCCTTTTGCTCCTGTGAATCTGGCCCCCAGTCTCTTCGTTTACCAGGTTTTACAGACTTCTGGGAAAAAAGTAAGACTTGTCCAGGTGGTGACAGTGGGCGCAAGCAGAAGTATGTGCACATGACAGTGTGCATGCAAGCGTATGTGTGTGACCGAGTGTGGGTAAGTGTGAGGATCTGCTGCAGTAACATTCACTCCCATCCTAATACACACCAGAAGGCACAATGAGCAAATTGTGTGCACTGCAGCGAGGTGTACACACACACACACACACACACACACACACACACACACACACACACACACACGAGCCATTCTCTCCCCAGTTCTCAGAGTGACCTCACCATCTCCAGCTCCGCTGACTCACAACCTCTGCCAGCCCAGCCTGGATGAAGCCTTCCCCTCCCCTCCACAGCCAGTCCTCTGGCCCCACCCTGAGCTGCTCCAAAAGAGAGGCCACAGCGCCCCCTGGTGTCCCCTGGAACTCCTCACCTGTCCTCTTCACTCTGCATCCACAGCGCCCACTGCCGGCCACAGCCTAGGAGCCTGCAGGCCATTCCCAGAGTCCAGCCCAGAGCTGCCCTGGGGACCTCTCCTCTGCCCTTACCTTGTTTCCTTGTTCCTGCATGTCTGCCTCCTCTGCCCAAAGCAAGCCTTCCTGCAGCCTAACCTCCAGATGTGCGTCCCTCTCACTCTCACCCTCTCTCTCACACTCCCTGAAAACTCCTTTGGGAACCCCAAACACCTTCCTGCCTTTTTCCTTGGGGACTCAACCTTTCTCCCTCTCCAGTCTGAACACACTTAGACCCACTTGACTCAGGGCACTCCATCTCCATCCAAATGTCCATATACTGTTCCCCAACCCCTGTGTATCTTTCATTTCATATTACTGGGCATCTATTCTATGCCAGGCACATTCTACCCAGAAGGTCTATGTGTCCCCTGAGACATTGGCTGCCATTCACCTCTCTCTCTTACACACAGAAGCATCAGATTTGTTTGGGCTCAAACACCGCTTTATTTCCTGCTGGTTTTACAGGTGCTTATCCTGCAAACCTATTCCCTTGGAAAACTTAATAAGCAGGCACAGTACTCCCCAGGGGAATGGAGGGGGCAGGATAGTTGGCAAGAAGAGGGCAGTAGAGGCACTTAGGGGCTTACTCAAGGCCTTGAGGGGAAAATCTGATGCCCTGGGTAAGGGTAAGAGGCCAGGGCTGGGCCAGAGGCACCCAGGTATTTCCCAGAAGCCCCTTCAGACACTGTCACCTGGACTCCAGCTCCACCCCTCTCATGATGTCACTTCCTGTGGTGGCAAGAGCACAGGTTCCAGGGGCAGATTAGGAAGAGAAGGCAAGACTGGGGCCCCCAGCAGTGTTCAAGACCTTGCCTTTAGGCACCTGGAGTGGAACTGGAAGGAGAGGTCCGTGGGGCCTTCCAATGCCTCCCCCGAGGGCCTTCTAGGGCCTTCATTGGGTGCCATTCTCGAGCCTAGAAAAGAAAAACATACTCACCCTCCACCCTGGGCTCCTCCTCTTCCCTTTCTTCTCAGAGTCTGCCCTCTGGTGTTCTTGCTTCTTAATTTCCACCTCATCTAATTACTTGCCCTGGCTCAGCCCTTAAAATCCCAGAGTGTAGGTGCATGCGCTAGGACAGCAGCTTCCTTTTGCCCAAAGGAAGAGCAGTAACGACTCCAAGGTCACACAGCCATGACTGGCTGGCAGAATTAGGATTGGAACCCACAGTTACTGCTGGCTACAACCCCCACCTGCCTCTTCCTGGCACTCACAGGCCTGCGAGGCACACAGGAGATCTGGGGGGGCTCCCAGTGACCATTCTCCTGGCAGCGGATCAGTGGCAGGTTTCGCTGGGCCAGCCCCTCCCGGCACCGGTAACGAAGCACAGTGTCCACTTCATAGCGCAGCCGAGGACGGCCAAACACTTGAGCCAAGGGCAGCTCTGGTGGGGGCCCACAGGACACTGTGGGGGGAGGAGGAGAAGTGACACAGTCGGGAACTTAGAGCCTGGTTCTGGGGTGACTGTTCCCAAAATTCAGATGAGGAGATGAATGGACCATAATCTGATTTACCATAAAAAATAGGGATTCCAAGTGGATCCGCCCAGTTTGGGTGGCATTTCAAACTTTTCTGTGTGGCCCTGTACCCTCCCTACACATACATCAGAACCCGATGCCCTGCCCCCACCCTGGCTGCCCTCACCCAGCCCCATCTTGCAGGTGTAGGACAGGTGGTAGTTGCAGGGCACGTCACTCCATTGCCCCTGGTCATGCCACACCATCACCACACAGTTCTCTCCGGACAGGAAGTAGCTGTCAGGCTGCCCAGGGTTCCAGTTCTCATAGAGCTGGGCAGAGAGGGAGGGGGTAGTGAGGATCCCTCCGGAGCACTGGGTAGAATAGGCCCAGAGGACCTGAGGGGGTGGAGGGGCGCAAGGGATAGCAGGAGAGAGAAGGTAGGGGACCCCAGGGAAGAGGAAAGAGGAGGCCAGAGGCTTTGGGAAGGGATAATGGAGAGGTACCTAAGAGGAGGAGAGGTACCCAAGAAGGGGAGGAGCGTCTAGATGGAAGAGGGGAAAGCATGGGAAAGGGAAGGGGCCAGAAAAAGGAGAGAAGGGCATGAGGTCCCTAGGGGTGGAGGACAGAATGCTTGGCAGGAGCAGCCTACACATGGAGGGGGGCAGCGGGGGTCTCACCAGGGGGACGCCATCTGACCATAGGAAATCGCCTTCGATGGTCCTGTCGTTGAGTCCGATCCACTGGTACTCTCTATAGCGATCTGGGAAGAAGCCACAGGGACACGCAGGTGTGCAGTGGGCTCCGCCGCCAGCAGATGGCAACGTCCCCGGTGTTGCGCTGTGTGTGGATGGCCGGGAGGCAAGTCCCTCTGGCAACCCCGAACCTGCGCTTCCCAGTTTTCAACCCCTCCCTCCGACCTCTGCCCCGGACAGATGGAAGGCAGGGGCGTGAGGGAGGGGTTGTGGGGAGAAGGAAAACAGCACCAGGGCTAGAAAAGGAAAACTGGAAAACGAGTAAAAACTTTCAACAAAGTCAGAGTCAGGAAACAGATGGAGGTAAGAGGTGGGGCGGGTTGAAAGTGGGCCCCTGAGCCACTGCCGGGCGGAAGCAGCTGCATTTCCTGCGGGAACCTCAGCCCTCCGCTGCCTGAAGCCCCACTAGCCACAAGAGGAGCGGAGGGAGAGAAGGTGGGAAAGTCCAGGGATGAGTGAGGGAAACCAAGTGACACTGAGTGCCCAGACGAGTTAGCACAGGCACTCAGGCATAGCGCGCGAGAGCGATGGCAGGCTCCCCTCCGCCCGCCCCAGCCCACTGTTGATGAAGTCCTGCTCCTCGGGCGTGCTGATGCTGGTCAGGTGCGCGCCGTACATCCGGCACTGGGTCTCTGCCTCCTCCCAGCTCCTTCGAGTGGAAAAGTGCTTGTAGCAGGCGCCCTGGAAGGCGTCCCAACCAGGGCTGCAGAAGCGAAGGCCTGGGGCACAGAAGGGCGGGTACCTTAGGGCCGAGGAGCGGGGAGCCCAGAGCGGCCAGGTTCCGGGGAAGGGGCCCGGCTCCTCCCACCACCGCGACCGCGGGGCGGGGCTAGGGAAGGGACTAATGGCGAGTGAGGGGCGACCAGGAGGAGCCCAGAGGGTCTGGGAGCCGAGGGTGTTGATGCCACCATTTTCTGAACAGCAGTGGCCGGGGTGAAGGCTGGAGTCCCCGCCTGAGTCTCTGCCACCCTCCATCCTCAACAGCTCTACCCTCCGCTCCTTCCAGGAGAATGGACGCCGGCAGGTACTGACCGCCTAGCAAGGGCAGAATCATGCTGAGCTCTCCTCTCCCGTGCCCGCGGAGAAAAGCGTTCAGGATTCCGGGGTCTAGTTAACCAGCAAGGGAACTACATGCGGTTCTCTGAGGGATTCTCCTAAAATGGGGATTCTCTAATGACAAAGCTAAAACCAGCGCCCTTCCTCTCCACTGGGGAGCTAGCATGTCCTGTGGGGTCGCGGCTTCAGATATACCCCCACCTCCGGCAGGTCCCTCCACACACTCACCAACATCGCACAGGTCCCCCCCATAGCCAGGCAAACATAGGCAGCGGACCCCCTCCTCCTCCTCCAAGCATGTCCCACCATTGTGGCAGGGGCTGGGGACACAGACACCTAAGGGGGAGAGAAGTGAGGTGGGGGACGCAGGGGAGCACAGTTCTGCAGTCTGAGCCTCCAATCCCCTTGTCCCAGGAGCTGTCATAGACCCCAATGGTTCGCGCTGAAGCTGCCTCCGGTCAGTCCAAACTTGACTGCTGGGTTTCTGCCCCCCTCTCCACCCCCTTTCACTGCCCTCTGCTCTGGCACAGGCTCAGCCTGGGCTGGTCATTGTCATGGCCACCAATGTGAGCCCAGCTAGACAGGGACTGGGGAAGTGGCCAGAAAGGCCCTCAGGACTCAACCCCGCTAAGGGGAAGAGACTGGGCTGTCAGTCAAGAGACCTGTACTCTCATGCGTTTCCTGCCTCTGGTGGGTGACATTGTGAAGGTCACTTTACATTTTATCTGGAAGCTTAGTTCCCCACCCTCTAGGTTTTGCGCCAAGCCCCAGGACAGTTCTCTGCAGTCTCGGTGGGCTGTAGAGAACCTGAGGAGCGTCCCCATAGCATCAGTCGTCTGTCCATCATCGCTTCTGGGACCTGATATTAAGGTGCTCCATATGGGAGCTAACTATTCCTCCCGCTGTCCACAGGACCCCAAAAGCCCAAGGGATGGAGCTGCAGAGGCTCCCACTGTCCTACAGCACTACTCCTCCCCCAACATATCCGATCTCTTTCTCTCTCCTTACTCCCCTTGACCAGGGTCCCTCCCCCACTTCAGGCCTACAGTCTCCTCATCTAGAAACCTCTCTGATCCAGATGGCTCCCTGTCAACCTCCAGGCTGTCTTCTTAGACTAACACACAACCCTGAAGGCTTGCAATCTGTCGTGTGGCTCTAGCTCCATCTGGCTAGGTCATTTGTCTTCTCTGGACACTCCCTCTCTGGATCCTAGGGTGGGAAGTGGCTGCTCTTAAACTGGGCTTGAATGTGGAAGGGTGGTGTCAAGTTTCCACTCCTTTCTGGTCTGATGATCACAGGGGAGGACAGCCCCATGAATCTGTTGCAACAGTTCAGGTCTGCGCTCTCAAATCTGGGAGGTAAAACCTTCTCTAGGCAGGACCCTTCAGACTGTGCCATCTACCCTAGGCCCACAAGACTTCACTCTCACCTGAAATCTCTCTGCTTGGTGGGGATCAGAGGAAACAAGAGAGGAGGAGAAGCTGGAATTGATTCAAAGAAATTTGCTGGGATGACCTAGCTGTTTTGCATAAAAATGAATCAGCTGTTTTAACACAGGTCCCCCTGTCCTGTCCTTTCCTGCCAATAGCTTCTTCCAAGCTGGTAGTGCTATCCTTCTTGTGCAAAGGGGGAAGGGAGGTGTTTTTACTTAATCCATTAAGCACTAGGTCCCACAGAGTAGAAGTCCTGAACCCCCTTCTCATTCCTCACACTTCCTGCTCCTCCTGTTGTTCTCTCTGTTCTCTCCAATCCGGGGAGACAGAGACTCTCAAACTCAGCTCTTGGCTCCCCATCCAGTTCATAGGCCCCCCTCCTGGCTCTGGGTGGCAGAACCTAAACCAGAAGAGGTCAGGTGGAGTGAAGGAATTTCTCTTGAAGCTCTTCTTTCCTTCCTCTTTTCTCTAGGACTGAAGAGAAACTTTCCTTTCCTTTCTGCTGCAGTAGCAGACCAGAACTGTCCCTCATCCTCCAGGTGTGGTAACTAAGACATGGAGGATAATTTGAATGTGCTCCTGTTCCCACTAAACCCGTCCCCAACTTTCACACACTGAACTTGAAGGCCAGCTGGGCAGGGAGCCAATAGTTGAAATGGGTGAGCCCGGGTATGATACAGGGACCCCAGGGCTCCCAGGCCACATAGGACAAGGATTCCTGAGACTGGAGGGATCCCAGCTTTCTCCAGGTTCTCCACTGGGAAGCTCAGCCTTCTTTGTGTAGGTAGGGCTTCTCTTGGACCCTAAAGGCTACCTCCTTATTCTCCCTCCCTCCACCCCCTCCAACCTTGACTCCCGATTTTGTCTTCTCCAGCATTAGGGACTCTGAGATCCTTTGGATTCAAGGAGAATGAAACTATTCCCCCTAGAGGACAGGGGTGGTCATTAGTGTAAAGGTTAGTGGAGGAGGGGGAGGCTGTGGGCAGAGTGATTAAAGTTAGATACTGTCCCCTGCTGAAATGGGGGCAGGGAGCTGGGGCACCTGGATGCCAGGGAACACCTCTATGCCAAGAGAGACTTTCCCAGTCACTACTATGTATGTATGATTCTATATGGATCAGAAATGAATACAGATGCACACACACGAACATTCCAGGCTGTAGAGGTCCTCCCCATCATGAGGTAGGGACTACAAGTCCCAGCGCTCCTGAAGACTGGTGGAAAATGCCTTCTCTGGGGTAATGTGTAGGGTTAGATCTGGGAATTCAGTAGTCAGAAAGGAAGGTGGAGAGAGACCACAAAAGGAGAGGATGAGGGAATAGCATAGGGCTGTTAGATCACCAGGACAGGAAAGGTGTAGGCTAAAGATATGAGAGAGAGAGAGAGATTAAAGAGCTACCCATGACACAAATCCATGGAGTGAAAAGGGAGCTGTGGATGGAGACAGAGGGTGCTAGAGTTTTGGTTATAAAGCAGTTTAATAGAGATTTATTTCCAAGGTTTGTTTTCCATGAAACAGTCAAAAAATACTTCACAGAAGTAGTCGATTAAGGCTCTGTGGGAATAAGGGTTCGCTAGGACCCCAGAGGTTGAGGGACGGGGATGGAATCCCAGACTCCCCAGTATCAGTGGCAGATATCTGAAGGGCACACCTGACTGGGGGAGGAGCAGTGGAAGATGAACCTGGACTCTAAGGGTGTAGTAAGTGACCATGGAACCCTATTAGCTCATGAGGCCTGGGGGTGCCCTGGTCAGTGGCATGTGAGTCAACAGGTGGAGAACCCAAGGGTAGAGAAGAGTCACAGGTGGTCAGCGGTAGGCCTGGAGTCACAGGGTGAGAATTTCAGCAACAGGGAGAGGGCCACAGCGTGTGGATCATGGAATTGGGGGACATGGGTAAGGAATTAGAGGTCTGGAAAGGAAGCCATGAGGTGGGGTATCCAAGATGGGAGATCCACAAGTGGAGGTGTGAAGAAGAATGAAGGCAGAGGACAGGAGAGCTTGGGGAATGTGGTTAAAGGACTATAGGTCAGGTGACCCAGAGCTGCAGGGGGAGAAGGAGGAGGACAAAGAGGGTGGTTGAGCCTTGGGCAGAGTTACCTGATGAGGGGGCCACGGCCACTCCACCACGGTTGGCGCTGTCAGTGGGCAGCACTGGCTGGGCCTGCACTGAGGTCCCTGCTGGGACAGTTCTTCCAGAATTCTCTTCGGAGGGGGCCGCCAGCTCCCTGGTGCCCTCAGGGGCCGGTGTGGCTGGAAGCAGGGAAGAGGCCTCCTCGGAGCTCCCTATCTCCTCACTCTCTCCTTTGGGGCCCCCGGACAGCTCAGGACTCCCAGTCTCCCTCCCCACCTCTCTCTCCCCAACTGGAGTGGAAGGTGGCAGGGATGCCAGGTTCCCCTTTCTGGGAGTAGGCAGAGTCTCAGTGGGTGGTCCAAGGACCCTTGGAGGCCTGGGAGCTTCTGGTTTTCTATCAGGAGATTGTGATGCACCAGGCTGTAGGACTGCCCTTGTTGGTGGAGTTGCCTGGGACAGCAAATCCTCTAAGGTGGGATGAGGGGTGTCTGGGTCCGGGCTGCTGAGCTCGCTGGGCCAGGCCCATAAGGCCTCCTCTTCCACTTTCTCCTCTTCATCCTCCTCCTCTTTTTCTTCTTCATCCTTGCCTTCCTCTTCTGAAGACCCCATGGGAGGTACAATGGATTGGGTTTCAAATTCTAGGCAGAGTAGAAATGGTTCAGCACCAGGGACAGCACCACCAGAGGCCAGGAAGAAGGGAGGGAAAGGGGAGAAAAGCCAGCTGGCTGGAGTGAGGCCTGAGGGAGTGGGAAGAGCCTGCCCAGGGGAGAGGCTGTCTTTGCTCCACACCAGAAGAATTTCAAACTGAGCTGTAAACAGGCAACACCTGAGAAGGCTCTGAGGCTTTTCATTAGCACAGGAAAACATGATCTCCCTTTCAGTCTGTTCAAATGTTCTATTTTGAGTAGGTAAATGGGGAAGAACCAAAAAAAAAAAAGGAGACCCACCCCCCCTTCCCAGGAGGACTCTCCTTATTCCAAACATTCCAGACCTAGAGATATGGGAGTGGAATTTGTTAGAAAGGCAGGTTGGGAGGTTGACAGGAGAGATGTCCTGTACCACTGAGCTGCTGCGAAAGGACAGGGCAGAGTCATTCCAGCCACAACACCAACATCAACCTGGGATTGAACCTTCTACTTCCAACTTCTCTCAAAAGAAGACATGCAGGATAAGGGGTTCAAGTTACCTAGGACAGTCTTAGGGGCCTCTGCCGGGTCTTCTGGAGTGGAGCTTCCCCCTCCTCCATCCTCCATGATGGGAATGGAGTAGATGGCTCCACGGGACTCGCTCTCCACTGCTTCCCGGGGCAGCTGCAGTTCCTCCAGGGTCTCTGTCACTGTGACAATGGCCTCAAGTCCATCAGAGGCTGGGTTGGAGGCCTCAGGGATGGCAGAGGGCTGGACAGAGTCTGTGGCAGGAGGAAAGTGCCAACGGGAAGTCAAATAGGTGGCTCTGGGTCAGAGGACTCTGGGTTAGACTCCAGCCACTGAAGCCAGTTCGCTCATACCTCCCCTGTGGAGCACCTGTACTTGGTGACTCACTCCTCAAGTGGTAATCAAGTACGCACAATGAGTAATGCCAAGTATTGTCTTAGGCCCTGAGAATATAGTAAAGAGCAAAACAGTTTCCTGCCCTCAAGGGAATGTATATTTCAGGTACAGATAATAAACACCTATTATAATGTTACCATATAAAGAATAATAAGCAGATAGGATGGAAAAGTACTGCTTTAGATAGACTGAGCAGGAAAGGCTCAGGGAAAAGATGTTCCCTTGAGTAAGGGATGAAGGCAGTAGGACAGACAGACTGGTCTCTAGGCTTGGGCCAACGAGCAAGGAGTCCTGGTCATCCCAAGACTTAAAATGGAAGGGGACAGGCAGCCACCAGTCTAGGTTGAAGGGCAGAGTGTTGTATGAATGTTCAACAGTCCCTAGCTGAGGATCTCAGCATTTTGCAGGAAGAGGGCAAAAGCAGAGGCCACCCCATCCTTCCAGGATCTGGTCCCTTCAAATATCCAGAGTTTTAGAATAGATTACCTTGTCTCTGGGGAAGGGAACCAGGAGTAGAAAACCAATGAAGTAAGGCTGGAATTGGGCTAAGAAAAGCCCTAAGGGCCTGTGCTCAGTCAGACAAGACAGGACAGCACGTCCTGCCCTCCTCACCTGCTCCAGTGAGCCTGCTCGTGCCAGACAAGCAAACCTGTGCCCATACTTGCTTCTTTCCTCCATGTGCCACCCTCTTCCTTTCCTCCTGATTCAGTTCCTCCTTTTATGTTTTCCCAGAACAGTGCTTGGCACATAATTGTAATCAGTGCATAGAAGGGCTAGGTGTCACCACCATCACCATCACCATCTTCACCCCTGCTCCAGTAAGCCTTTCCAGATGGACCTACCTTCCTAGGGGTTTCACTTCCCTACCCCTCCCCAACTCCAGGCCTAAGATGTCTGGAGATCTGCCCAGTGAAAGTAATGCTTTTCTCCCAGACTTTCCTCATGCTGGGAGCAAGCCACCTTGTCTCCCCTTAGATTGGGGACTCTCATAGAAGTTGTATCTTCCTCCCTCAGATTAGGGACTCCCTGAGGGAAAAAGCTATGTATTTTCCTCACATTTCTACCTCTAGTCCTCATACCAGTACATTCCTCTCATTTCTACCTCTAGTCCTCATACATACAGTACTGGGGTAAGGCCCAGGACACCCCATGGCAATGCCTCCCTGATTATCAATTACCCTTGGTCTGGGCCCTGTGCTCCTGGGAGTTTCAGGCACTGCCTCTTCTGCTCCCAATACGTAATATGGCAGGAGCTATTTCTATACCCAACTATCCTTAAGGATCTGCTGCATGTGGGGACTGGGGAATGGTTTCTACCCATTAATATTTGGTGGTTAAAGATTAAGTTAAAGGTTCTGGTAACCCCTCTGAGGGTTCTTGAGTACATTTGGTTTAGTGGAGCAGATCATTCATGGATTCAGAGACTCATCACCTCTGTTCTGCCAATGAGCTGACCAGAAATGGAAACATATTTGGCAGCCCAATATAGAACAAGCAGCTGTGGAACTGGGGGAGACCAGGCATGGGCTGCCATGTGGAGGCAGGTAAAGCAACGCAGAGCGGCGGCTGAGGCCTCACTGTCCAAGCCAGAAGATACGACCAGAATTAGAAAACTAGTCAGCAAGCTGATTATCAACCAACTCTCCTTCAGGCAAGCGGAAAAGACCTGAGAGAAAATAGCCCAAGCTGGTACAGGACCTCATGGCGCCACTCTGCCTCTCTGAGCTCACTCAGCCTCTATGAGAAGGCCAGCTCACCTCGGAAGCAGTAGACGTTGAAACGGCTGTGCTTGTTGGGAAAGCCAGTCTGGTTGGGGAAGAGGAAGAGAGTCTTGACACCAGGCAGGCCCCCACCACAGCGCTGGCTCGGTGTGATGATGGGGTAGCGCACACTGCCATCAGCTAGCCAGCCCGGACTGCAGCGGTCCAGGCCACCATCCCAGGCCGCATACAGCTGGCCTGTGGTGGCAATCTCTGCACCACGCTCCTGGCAGTATGCTCGCGCCTCCTCCAATGTCAGCTTGTCTGGAGGGGCACCCAGGAACAGCTCTCCTGTTCAGGAAGACGAGATTTGGTTATCAGGAAGTTGGTAGCCGCTTTCACCTTGGAATCCCATAGGAACGTTCAGGAAGCTTCTCTAGGTTCAGTCTCCATCTATGACATGGAGTTAACCATCCTACTTCATTGGATCAAAGTCTGGATAAAACCTCTGGATGAATATCATTGCTCAAAGGAAACTGACCCAACTTCCTAATCTGCAAAGAAGGAAACTGAGGCCCAGAGATTTTAAGAGATAAAGAGATACACAGTAGGTAGCAGCAGAGGAAACTCAAGCTCAGTCTCGGGTTTTAGCCATAGACTTGCCTATATAACAGTGTCTGGAAGGAGAGGCAGTTTCCTTCTCCCTGGCTGCTCCTTTAAACACATGAGAAACAATATGGTCTAATAGAGGACCCAGGAGGACCTATGGACAACACTAGTGAAGGGGCTCATTCCCTGGTAATCCCCTCACCCCCAGTCACCATTTAGGTCTTCAGCATAACAGTAGACATCATAGAGGTCATTCGGGTCCACCACTCCATAGTTTCGGACCCCAGGGAAGCCATCCATGTCTCCATAACAGGCCTCTCTTGGGGTCTGGATGGGATACCTAGGGAGGGAGCACAGATGGCTTCACCAGGGAGCTGCCCTGGTGCCCATTCGGCGTCACATTGTCTTTCAATGCAGCCAATTCCCAGCTCAGCAGGAACCCACACCCCCAACACAGGGTCCTCACCCCCTCCCCAGATGAACCTCTTTCCCTGGGGGCCACAGGCAGCTCTTGGGAGAACCCAAGAGCACAGCCACCACGGAGACAACTGGTAGTTACTGGGCCCCAACCCCAGCCCACCTCACAGTCTGGTCGGACAGCCAGCCAGCATCACACTGCTCATAGCCCCCCAGGTAGGCGGCATAAAGCTGCTCCGGGGTGGCGATGCGGGCTCCGATGCGGGCGCAAGCCTCCTGCGCCCCCGTGAAGGAGAAAGCATAGCGGGCAGAGCCCTCCCGGTAGAGAAAGACGACCCCTGTGGGCAGAAAGGGCACCTGAGGCCTGACCACACACTCATCAGCCCCTGTGTGTACAGGGAGCCTCCTCACCTCCCTGTACACACAGGGTAAAATCTGAGTCGTGCCCCTTCAGCATGAGGAGTTAAGGTAAGTTACGCTGAAGGCAGAATTCCGCCAACTGAAGAGAAGAAGGGGGTGGCCAGGGTATCTATTCACCCCGTTTCCGATTCGGCCGCGCCTTCCGCCTTCGGTGGTGTTTGCCTACCCCTCAGGCCGCGGGCCCGCCCCCCGAAGGCGGAGTCCTGCCTCAGGCCCCGCCCTCTCACCTTTGACCTTCACCTCCACCGCGTCGCTGCTGTCGTCGATGCCGTGCTGGACCTCGCAGCGGTAGATGCCTGAGTCGTTGGGCCGCAGCTCGCTCAGCGCCAGAGAGACGTCGGTGAGCGACGCGGGGTAGGCGGGCAGCGCCACGCGGAACCGGTAGGCCTCGCTCACCTTGACTCGCAGCCCGCGCGCCACCAGCACCTCGGCCTCCCGGCCTCCCGACAGGAAGGTCCACTTGACGCGGGGAGAGCCAGGCGCTGCGCGGCGGCTGGGTGGCGGCCGCAGGTAGTGAACGTGGCACGGGATGGTGAGGGCGCCGCCCAGCACGCCCTGCAGCGGCGCGTCGCCCGCGATGAGCACGCGGAAGGCCCGGTCCTCTGTGGGCGGGCGGGGCGGGCTGGAGCTTCGTGTGGGAATCCGCGGGGGCCCAACCCAGGCTTTCCCCGCCTTCACCTGGGCTCCTCCAGACTCGGGGATTGGCCACGCCCGCCCCAGAATTCCCTGCCTCCCTGGCTTTAGGATTTTCTTGATCTCACGCCGCCCCGCGCCCCCCCCCCCCCCACCACCTCCCCCCCCCCCCCCCGTACCTGGGTCCCAGCCCAGGGTCCCTCAGGCTCACCTTCCACGGCCTCTAGACCCCTCCCCAAAATATCCCCGTCAGTTTCACTCCTAGGGTCTCTCGGCACCCCCCTAGGATTCCAGGGACCACCCCACATTTTCTAATCTCACATTCTCTGTGCCCCAGCCCTAGTGACAAATATTCTGTCTGTTCCCCTTAGAGTCACCTTCAGGTTTTCTTCCAGCTCCACCCGTGTTCAGCCTCCCAGCACCCTTCATCCTATCCTTGTGACTCATCCTCCTCCCTAGAGACTGCCACCTCTGACCTGCCCCAGCCCTGTCTGCCACTCCACCAGGGGCCCAAAACTCTTCTTTATTTCCCAGCCCAGACAGACAGAGGTTGGTTATGGTCAACAAGAGGCCACTCTTGCCATCAGGGAGATGACCCTGAGTGGGGTCGCTTACCTGAGCTGTCCTCATCAAGGGCATCAGCTAAGGCCAGAGGGACCCCGGCCAGGGTCAGGATTGCCAGCAGGGGCAGGAACATGCCTCAAGCTGATGGGGGGACTTAAGGAGAAAAGATACGGTTAAACCTCAGGATAGTCTTCCTCTGGATGCCTGCTACACCCATGTGGACTTGCCACATATCCTGTCCCCAGAACCCCACCTCACCATTAGCTCTCTTTCTGATCTCACCATCCAGGAGTTCTTCCTCAGAGTCAAGACCTGGGTCCTAGTCAACTCTCTGTGACTTAAGGCAAGTACCTTACATTCTCTGGGCCTTTATTTTCTTACTGGTAAAAGAGCACTACTACTACTACTACCAAATAGGTTGTGTTGAGGTTGTGCTTTGAGAGTCCTTTATATCCTTAAAACTCTGTGCAGGGGCCTCCCTAGTGGCGCAAGGGGTTAAGACACAGCATAGTGAAGCTACCCGCAGCCACTGCACATGAGTTCGATCCCCAGCAAGGGAGGTGACCCACATGGCGCAGCAGACCTCTCCTGTCTCCCCCGCTGCTCCCCTCAGCAGTATATTTCAGTACATCTGCCTGTTCTGTTCCCCACTCTGACTCTGGTGAATCCTCTCACTCCACACCTCTAGCCTGTACCCCAGTTCTTGTATGCATAAATAAATAAATCTTAAAAAAAAAAAAACCTGTACAAATGCACAGTGCCAGGCACATATTTGGTGCTCAACAGATGCTTATAGCATGAATGGTAGGTGCCCTCTCCCCCTCCTAACTCCAGACTCCTTCCTCTAACGCAGAGCCCCCGTCTCCCCCAGCATACCTGCAACCTTCCCTTCCTCTCCCTGAGTGCCATTCCTGCCTGAGGCCCTCCAGGAGGTCTCTTAGATTGAACCCAGGCAATGCACAACTCTCTCTAATCTCACCCCACCCACCCCATCATTCATTACTTATAAGGAAACTCTCTCTTTATACCACAGCATCCCCCCCCCCCCAAATACCTCCTGGCTGCCTCCTCTCTTCTTCCTCTCCCAGCCATTCCTTTCTGCCTGGCATGGGCTTTCCCACCGGATCTCCTGGCTCAGAAACCAGCTGGGACAAAGCCCCTGTTTCTGCCATTCTGGCCTCCATCCAGCCTCTCCCTTCCCCCCACTCCAGCCCTGGCCTGGAGATTGTGTTAAGGTGGGGGTGTATGTTAGAATAAATGGGAGAGGCCATCAGAAATTACCCTTGCTATCAGAAACTTTGAGAACCTAGAATATTTTCCAAAAATCTCAACACACTTAGACTCTCCCAGTGGAGGGGTAAGGGAGTGTGACATTGAGAAATGAGACCCAGAGAGGGAAAGCCTGACCCTGGGTCCCCAGCAAAGCCAAATCAGGCACCAAGCCAATGGTGCCCCCTGGCAGGAAGGCTGGAGAGTTAATGTCCAACATCATCCTCAAGGGTGAGACTAGCTTCAGAAGATCATGGCAACCCAAGTCTGTTATGGAGTAGGCCACTGGTACAGCAGGAGGGATGATGGTTAGACTGCAGACAAGACTGCCAAGATATCAGGCTGATTCCCACTGTCTACTCGCTTCTACTTGAGGCCCGAAGTTCAACCTCCATCCTCTCCAGCCTCTCAGCCTCTGCCTTCACACTCATCCCCTTTCTTGCGTCTGTATTGATGGGAGCCTTCCCACCTCCTCCCACCTCCTAGGGTACCTCTCACTACTGTAACTTTCATTTCCTTTTTGGCGACTGGGCATCAATTCCTCAGGGTCAGAGTTGTGGGAAGAGTGGCAGGAACCAGTTTCCAGAGCCTCTCTCTGGCCTTTGAGAGGAAGGAAGTTCTTGAAGCGTACAGGTCAGAAGGTGCTGAGACCAGCTCCAGGCAAGGGGGCTGTTTTTTGGAGATGGAGGGGGACCATTTGATAGTGCCTGCCAGGTGCTGGGGGGACTGTTCCAGGTCTTGAGTCTGAGCCCTTCCTGGTGTCCTCCTTCCCCTTTCTCTGGGCTAGAGCTGGGGCTGTTCACAGAGCTGGTTCCAAGCTCTGTTACAGGCAGCCCAGAGACCCATATAATTGGAGTCGCTCTGAAACCAGCACCAAAGATCACTGTTTCACCTCTGTTTTGAAGTTGGCGGAATGAAAGAAGACCCAAGGCTGATGCAGATTTAGCAGCTCTGAAACATGGAGGGGATCCTTTCCTAACTCTACGAAAGGAAGTCACTGACTAGAGGAGGCCAGGCCCAGAGTGCATGATTCTCACAACCAGCGAGCTAGGTCTTCCTCACCCCCTGCCAGTTGCGTTAAGCTTGTTCCTCATCCCTTCCCTGTATAGCTAAGAACGCTAAGATGACCACAGGCATCTTCAGCATCCCCTCACCTGGCACCAGACTCAGAAGCACCGGTCCAGGCCTTGGCCTTCTCCATCCCACACACCCACTCTTCTCCACGCTGTCTTCTCTTCCTCCAGAGCAGGAGCAGGGGGCCCTCTGCCCCATCTCTAGCACTGGTAGCTCGGTCATTCTGTCTCTGCCCTTAATGCCACACCATCCCTCTCTCTGGCTCTCTCTTTTCCTGCTCCAGCTTCTAGATTTCTGCCCCCTTTCTTGAGTTTCTGGAGCTCTTCAGGAAACTTCTTGTTACATTATCATAACTGCCTGACCACAGACATCTATCTCTCTTATGGGCTGTGGAAGCCTAATCCACAAAGAATCAAGACCAGGCTGTGCGTGTGTGTGTGTGTGTGTGTGTGTTGTGTGTACCCACATGTGTACTCACCCTCAAAACCCACCATACCTATGCTGTGAATGTCACAGGCTAGCAGCCCAAACTCTGCCCCACAGGAACTGAGCTCCAGGCTCAGCAGGGTCAGCAAATCTGCACAGGGGGGCAGAGCTTTGGGCACAGCAGGAAGGAAGCTCTCAGTCATCCCCTTAATGGCTGTGTGGGGAGTAACATGAACCTACACAATACAGGCAAGTCCTTAGCCCAGCCTGCAGGAATCATTGTAACATTTGTATAAATAGTCCTATTTATTGGAAGCACAACTATCACCAACAGAGCTATTGTAGCCCCTCCTAGTACAAGATCTGAAGCGTGGATTATACTTTTATCCATGGCAAAGTTAGGTGGGACAACACCCGCACTGGCAGTACCGTGGGTGGATCTATGGGTAACCGTGTTCTTTGATCTTACTGGTATTTGCTGGAATCTCACCGATGCAGATAATCATGGTGCTCACAAAAGTAATGGCAAATCTCTCCTCCTTAGAGCCAAGTGGGCAGAACTAGTCAGATAGGAGGGGCTAGTCAGGGGAAGAGGGGGTTCCCAGCCAACAAGTTAATGCTTAGAATTCCCTGCTTACCAGTTACTGAGCATCCACCTAAGTCAGACCTCTCACTTAATGTTGCTTATGTGTTGTCATCAAGCTGCTGCGGAGCCCAGGTTCAGGGAAGTCAACTATCTTGCCCAAGGTCACACACCACGAGAGAGTTGGGGGGTCTAGCTCCAGTCCCTGCCGGATCACCCGCTACAGCGCCTCCTATCGGCTGTCCTGAGGCGAACCGGGAGGTGTCCCCAAAAGAAAGGTGGCTCACCGCGGCTCTTCCTGCGGTGCTGCGTGCACCGGACTCGGGGACTGACTCGGACCGCCGCCCCCAGCCCACGGCCAGGTCGGAAATCTCCGCAGCGGCGCTGGGCTGGGAGCGGGCAGCGGGAGAACGAGAGGGCCGAGAGGGGCGTTCCCACTAGCCGCGGACCCGGGGCAGGATGCAAGCGGCAGTGGGAGTGCCAGCCGCAGTACTGAGTAGCCGAGCTGGGACTGGGATGGGGGCTGTCGGCGCCCTGGGCCGGCGGACGGCGTACCTGGCCGAGGTGTCAGGTCCCGTGACTGAGGGGCACCGGAGCCTCAGAGGCCAGGGATGAGGGATGGGGGCAGTCCCTTCTCTCCCCTCCAGGACCAGGCGTCAGGGCCGCGGCCGCACTCACCTACCAGCAGGCGGCTGAGGACTGGCTTGGGGGTGAGGCACAGCGAACTTTGCCGCCTCCTCCGGGGGTCTCCACCGGGTCCACGGCTCGGTCCTGCAGCTGCAACCGAGACTGCGGCGGGGACTGCGCGGGCGCAGGGAGAGGCTGGGCCCGTAGGACGCTCAGAAGAGGGCGCCGGGCCGCCGGGCACCGTACAAAACCCCCTTTCTTTCCCCCGCCCCCACCCCGCTCTTCCCTGGGCAGCCCCCGCCCCTGGTCGCGAACGCGGGGGGCTAGAGAAGGTCACGGGACTCGCTCCCTGTTCTGCGTCGATTCCCGGCGGTGGCAGCAGCGAGAGCAAGGACGAGCGAAGTAGGACATCGTTCTGGAAATGAGAAGCCGTGGACTTGGTGTAAAGAGGGAGGGCAGAAGAGGCGGGAGGGAGCTCTCCCGGAGCGAGAGGATGATGTTGCAGCTGGAGGGATGGAAGTTAGACAGCCAGAAGGACTTTCTGTTGGTCAAGGCGCGAGGAGGAGGGACTCAGACTTCAATGATAGCCAAGGGGGATGAGAGTCTTTGCTCCTAGAGAGACACCTCGCCCAAGCTCTTTTTTGGAGACAGAATGAGGTGCAAATGACCCTGGCCACCTCCATGGAGGAAGTTCTGATTGGGTTTTGTCTCTTGGTGCTCCCACTCCCTGCAGAGGTGGAGCTGACTTTGCAGCTGGAGGGATGGAGGTTAGATAGCAGATTCGTGGGTTAAGCAAAGCAAGTCAGGAACTCTCTAGACAAGGTGGGGGTAGGGTGGCACTGGGAATGGTCATGAAAACCAATGGGCAAAACGCAGGCGTTGCTGGGAGCCCAGAGGACCCACTGGCCAAGGCTGTCACTGTTGAATGTGCAGCCCGGTGCCAAGGGGGCAGGCCTTGAGTGCTACCCAGTCGTTGGGGACCCTTCAGCATCCAGAATACCAATGACACCCCCTCCCTAGCTCCAGGGCCTCCATTACCTCCTGCTTTCCCAGGCTCTCCTTCCCCTTTCCCCCTCCTCCTTCTCATCTCCCTTCTGGCACTCCAGGCAAGCTTCTGGCACAGAATATGGGCAGAACAGCCAGATGCCTGGATT